CCCCAAAACCCCAAAACCCCTAAAGATATAATTTTAAATTTTTTGACATTATTTTTGAGTAATTTAAATTCTAAAAATCAAGGATATTAATCGTAGATACAATTTGATGAATAATCACTAGATCAATACCGACATGCAAGTTAAAGAGCCATCAATCTTTCTGAATTCATCACATATCACTGGCTTAATCGTGTAACCTCTATCTTATAAAACTTTATGGAGTTTAGGGCAGGATCCTGGTACTACAATGTTTCCATTAATATTTAAAATATTTGCTCCATGCCTCTCATCTTCTTCTACTATAATCTTTTCATATTTATCAAATTCCGGAATGTTTTCAATTGTTTTAATTCCCACAAGCAAATTTTCATCAAGATAGGTAACTATAGTCTTAAGATGTAGTCCTTCTGGAAGATTAAGGGCAATACCATTTAATCCCTCCTTTTCCTAGAGTATCTTTATCAATTTATCTGCCCCTTCTTAATTAGTCCTAGTTGATAAGCCTATGAAATAGGTATTTCCAGCTCTCATAACATCACCACCATCTAGGTATTCATTTCCTGTCATTTCAATAATGTTTTCTTAAGAATAGAATTTTCCAAAAGCTTCTCTAATATCCTCTGTAAACTCACCTCTTCTGCTAATAGCACCAAGCTAAGTTATTAGCAAATAATTGGGTAATGCTACTGCAGTATCCTCAACAAAGACTGAATCTGGGTAATCTTCTCTAGCATCTAGTTCAATAAGATTCTTTATTCCACTTTCTATTAGAGTCTTAGCATAATCCGAATGCTGTAATATTGCGACATCAAAGTCTGGTTTATCTATATCCTAAGTTGTGAGACCATTTATTAGCTGTTTGCAGGGTCGACGAATTACTGCTGAAGTAAATAAAAATTCTTAATTAATTCGCTCCATACTTATAATGTAAAACTATTTAATGATAATTATAATTTTTAAAGCCATCCATTAAAAAATCGAATATATCTTATTAATTTCCCAATTCATAGGAAATGTTTAAGAACGGGGTTTTGGGGTTTTGGGGTTTTGGGG